ATCATTGTTGGAGGGGAGTCATTTTGATTATCTAAGGTACAAATTAAAATTTATTTTCTTGGGATTGACTATTGGGATGAAGAGAGTATATGTACAAAGTTTAGGGTCAAACAAATGCGATAAACATGTTTTTGGTTTCATTATATTTCAATGACACAGTGGCATGAGATTATTCCCCCATATGCGTGTGTGTATATGTGTGCATGGGATGGTCTACAAAGAGACCATTTATCTTTTGTTCAAGGAGGTCACAAGATGGTTTCGGGTAAGTCACGAAGTTTGAAATATTTTTATGGAACTATGTGTCTATTCAACGACGCTCTTACAACCATTCATTTTAAAATTTAAGGGATAAGAGTGATTGTGGCCTCCTTACACAGAAGATAAATAGCCTCTTTACCGTCAATCCCTATATATAATGATACCACACTTGTAGAAAACCATCTTTGTGCCATTTGTATGACCCCAAATTGCACTCTCTTCATCATAACAATCAATTCCAAAAAATAAAATTCAGTTTCACCGTACACATAGCCAAACTGAGCTCCGCACAATAAACACATTAAAAACAAAAAAATGAGCCCCATCTAATAGTGAATCTTGATTGTCCCAAAAAAAAAAAAAGGAGCCCTTCCAATAGTGAATCTCAACTATCCATTTGAGAATTTTAATATCTAGGCCTTTAGAAACTCAAAATTAGTTTTTTTGTTTTTTAACGTTGTAAATATAATGATAACAAAGCTATCTACAAAATTTGAAGAAAGAAAAGTTCCTTCTAAGTTCTAAATCTAAGCATCTTACTAAATGGACGGCCTATGCTAAGTAAGTTAAAAAATACTTTTTAGGGTGCTTTTTTAAATTTTACTTTTTGTAATTATTCATCAAATAAAAAGTACATATATTTAAAAATTTGGTGAAACAAATGGCCATAGCTTGATTTTTGAAGATTGTTTCATAATATTGTTATATATGAACCGTTGTATGAAATCGCTATATATATAATGTTAACGGGCTAGAGAACATGCTCTTCTATAAACTAGGCATAGCATGGATTATGCTCGGCTTTGCCCTCACTATTACCTGTAGACCTCGATGAATACAAACATGGACAATGAGTTCATTGCTCATTATGTTTTAAGGGATTGTACAAAATGAGGTGGTTACTTTGCATAAGTAAAGGTCACAAAATTTGGATATCTATACCTTTAGGTTGTGCCATTTCTTTGCACAATTTTTGAAGAAAATTTCAAGGACCTGAAGTGGTCAATGGCACACACCAACTGCCCTATTTCAAACTGCCTCAATAGCTAGGGTCTATTATGACCTGTTATTATCAAAGGTAAATAGTCTTATTGTATGTTTTCCCATATTTGAATATCCCCAAGGTAATTTAATGTCAAAACAAGAGTACAAGGAGATTCAATTAATCATATCACTGATTTTTCTTACCAAAATTGAAAACAAAGTCCTGCTCAAGATTTTTGCTTGATCTATGTAGATTCAGGCTGAAATATTTCATTGGACCACAGCCTTTTAGCAGTGTCAATGGAAGTGTAAAGACCACATGTGTCTTTAGACACATTAAATAAGTTGTAGGTCAGAATAGATGTTCCTGGATAACCTTTAATTTCATGGCCTTAAAAGATGTCTGGATCCAAAGTCTGTAAAGACCTAATTCAATAGCACTCCTACTTCAATTCGTTATTGTTTGAACTCTTGTCCAATGTAGCTTATTGAATCCATTAGTGAAATTTTCCTTTGAGAAGGATGATAATCTTCCCTGTGCTTGTTTCATTGATTGCGTCCCTTTGATGTGTACCAACATTCTCACCTACCCATCTCTCTCACCCATATCTCTCTCTCTCTCTCTCTCTCTCATGATTGCAGTCCCCTACATGACATCAATATTGTGTTGGCAATTGCATTCCTATCTACATGAGTATGGTATCCATTCAATAGCTTGAGATGTCACTCTATGTTATGCAATTGCTCAATAAAAAGCACCTTAAGATTATGATGGTACCAAAGTTGTTTTGACCAAAAAAAAAAAAGAAAACCATATATGCTCTTTAGCGTTAGCATTTGCCGTTAGACTTGTGCGTAAATACCTAACAGGTTGACCATATTTGTAATCTTCAACTTGTATAGTTTGATCAAATCTCCTAACCTTCTCTACTTGAAATTGGTTCTTATGACTGCTTAGTTCATGATAACAATTTCTATGATACCATCTATAATTTTTTGCTTCTGATGCAGGAGATTCACATAGTTAGAAGAACTATACATATGTGCATATATACACACACATGCATGGATTACAGTATAAGATTATCAAAAGACATTGGCAACTGGAAGCACAATACGGGTCTATAATACATATAAAATAAGGTGAAATGATTTGCTGCTTCCATGGAAGCAACTGTGCATTTACATAGTCTGGAAAAAATCACGCTAAGAATATTTTTGGACCCCAAATTAAAAATGCTGGACCTCTGTAAGTGCATGAATTTGGATGTTACAAGGAATTCCTAGTGGTATGCGACAAGACAGTCGACATATCTGTAGGAATATACTAGATATGTTGAATATGTATGCCTGGTACTCCCCCAGGACTCAATGCAGATAAAAGCATTCCGTTGGATTTTGAGTAATAAAATGCCAAAAGATAGTTTGAACACAAGTTTACATGCAGTTTGATGATAAGATTGAATATAAAGCGGCAAATTGATGCGAAGCATTACACTTTAATGGATATGAGCTCCCACCAGTAATAGTTGCTTTATGTTGAGGAAAAGCATATAATAGAACCATTTATTTTTAATACAAGAATCTCGGCTATTGGAAGTAAAATTGGAAGGCTGGGAGTGTACCATTGGTTGGGCTCAAGGTCAAACAAAAAAATTAAAGCTTGTGACAACCCCAAGATGTTAGATTTCACATCTGATGGCTACATGTAAGTGTAAGTGTGACTTGTACAAAAGGTAAATAGTCTTATCGTAAAAAATCCCTTATCTTGAACTCCAAAGATGAATTCTTTTAAATAGTTGAGTGTGGACTACACCCAAGATCTATTAATACTTAATAGAAGGGGGTAATTGTGAACCCTAAATAAAAGTTATGCTCAACACAGTGTCATTGGTTTTAATTTACAAATAATAAAATAAGAATAATCATGCCTTTGTGAATCTAAGAGAACAAAGGACTACATGCTGGAGGAATGAGATGCTAGATTTGAGATCACATTAGTACCTATTGATTGAAGCATGGTATTATCTATGTAGTAGCATCACCTACAAAACCTTTTCGCATGTACCAAATGTCTTATCTTTTGGAACTATTTCTGCTTTACCATAAGTTTTGACTCAATGAATTGATTGGTACTACGATGAAATGCATTTGATATATCAATGTTAGTAGCATTGTGAATGTCTTTCTGCTTGTTCTAGAGCTGGTTACTAAATGCTAGGCTTGAACTTTTTTTATTTTAAAAAATAATTTAGAGATTTGATGGTCGTGGTTATTTGCCATATCATGATGTTCTTCTTTTCCTGTACGATTTCCTCCTTTACTTCTTTTTCCCATATTTCTTTTTGGATTAAGAATCTTAGATACCTAAGTCATATTTATCTTTTCACTGTAATTGTATTACCATTGTTTTAAAAAAGTGAATCGGGTACCCAATTAGATACCCGGGGATCCAAATCTGCTCACCAAGTCCAGCTATTGGGAATAGCCCAGTGAAAAAAAGGAAGAAAATTATGAAAAATAAAGAAAATTTGCCCAGGAATTACCTGAGTCCCAATAGTGAGCTGGGCAGTTCACTACAGTGAATTGCTGGTTCTGGGAAATCTAAGGTGTCTCCTTGGGGGACATCTGGATCCGGCTTTCTCTGTATCCAATTAATTGAATAACAATATAATGTAAATTTATACAGAGGGTACAGGCAATACTTGCTAAAACTATAAGATGCAGTTTATATATAGGTGTAGTATACAAGTAGGCACTGACATATTACAATATTCATAATTTGTAGATGCTATATCATTGTAATTGCCATATTTGTTCACAAACTCCTGAGGTCCGATCTAGGGTGATTTCGAGTCGATCACAGATCTACTTACCATGTTGTCCATGAATTTTTATATATTATGAAATTGTCCTTAATTTCCTATTCTTTTAGAAATGGGTTTCAATATTATGTTCTTAGTAGTTGAGAACATTTCTCTCCATCTCATGCACACAACACGTGCATGCACGTAGCATGCACAAGCCAGTTCTTGTATTTATTAGTTTTTCAGTGTGTGAGAGAGAAACATTTATGCTGTATTTTTTTAGTTGATTTCTGAATAAATGTATGTGTGTGTGAGAGAGGGAGATTCGTGTTGCTTGTATTTGTAGCTGATTCTGACAAATTGTGTATGAGAGAGAGAGAAAGAGAGATTGCCGTTACCTAAATTTTGTGTGTGT